GAAACACCTGTATTCTCTTACAGTAGAAGTTATTTTTTACTTCCAAAGAAAAGCAATGGCTTGAATTCTGGAACAGTACAACTTTGAGGGACTAAAAATTTCATGTTTTCTGGTAATTCCTAAAATATTGTCAGAGACCACTGCCTAGCCAACTGGGAATCATCCTGGGTGGTTGTTAAAAATGTGGATTCTTTCCCTGCCACCTGGAGAGGCTAAGTGCAGGTATTCTGAGCAATAGCTCAGACACTCACAAGTGCATGCCTTCATCACACCTGTAATCCTAGCATTTGGGAGGCCAGGGTGGGTGGATCACTAGAGGTCAGGAGTTCGAGACCAGCCTGACCGTCAATGAGAAACCCCATCTCTACTAAAAATACAAGAAAATTAGCCGGGTATGGTGATACACACCTGTAATCTCAGCTACTTGGGAGGCTGAGGCAGGAGAAATGCTTGAACCCAGGAGGTGGAGGTTGCAGTGAGCCAAGATCGCACCATTGCACTCCAGCCTGGGCAACAAGAGTGAAACTCCATCAGGAAGGAAGGAAAAGGAAGGAAGGAAGGAAGGAAGGAAGGAAGGAAGGGAGGGAGGGAGGGAGGGAGGGAGGGAGGGAGGGAGGGAGGGAGGGAGGGAGGGAGGGAGGGAGGGAAGGAAGGAAAGAAGGAAGGGAATGCCTTTAGTATGACTCCAGCCTCAGTCTTCTGCTACTGACCTGCATGACAGACCCAGAGCAGGCCCTGCCTTGCTGGGCCCCATCAACCCCTAGAACTGTGAAAGGTTATAATGGTAATAATAATGAATGATTATTTTATGCCACTTATATGCAGGCACATACACACACACACACACACACACACGTATACGTATATTCCAGGTTTTATTCAGCAGCTCGAGACCTGGGGTAGAGACAGTGTGGGGTGTAACTCAAGCATCTATATTTTTTGCAACTTTTTGGGTACTTTGAATGAGCAGCCATATCTGGAATCAGCTAATAATCTCTTAATCCCTTGTCTTTAAAATGAGATTAGATGCTTTTTCCTTTTATGGCACAGCCAGTCAATGGTAGAGCATGGTTAAATCCCAGCAGACATGACTACCAGCCTGGCTCCTGGTGCCCAGAAGCATCACATCTGAGAGCAGGAATAAGCTCAGAACTGCTGTCATCCATGCTCACCCTCTTATCCCATCCACCCTGCCTCTGTCAGGGCTCAGGCGTGCGGGGCTCAGACTTGGTGGACCACTGCTCAAGTGTGAGTTGAGGATTCAGAAGCAAAAAGGCAGGTGACTTGGACAACGAGCCTGTTTTGGAAATCTTCTGCAAAGCTCACTCATCTTCAATAAAATTTGGCAAGCAGCAACTTTCAGAATTTTTTTTTTACTCTAATTGTCTTCTATAACCAAACAGCCCATTTAAAGAAATATGGTCAGCTAAGTGAATATGAGGATGCTCACCTAAAAGAGGCCTAGCTCCTGCCAAGAACAGGCAGGGAAGGCCCGTTGCACCACCTGCTTCCTTCCCCCTGGACAGCAGAGGCAGGGCTGCCAAGCTTCTGGCCATCAAGAGCAGAACTTTCTATTCGAAGTGCTGATTGCGGAAAGCAGTTACTGTGTCCATTTCTAGTCATCGCAAACTACATAAGAGGGAAATAGCAATTCTACTTGAAGGCAACAGAGTGCTAAAATAGTGAAGCATTTCCAAGACAGAAACTTATAAAGTTTGGAGGACCAGGGAATCGAGTCCTGCATTGGGACATTTCTGCCCTAGGGAAAGTTGCCAATTCCAGAAAGAGAGACTGAGAAGCCGAAGGCTGAGCTGCAGTTTTGAAGGGCTCGTGGGTCTAGAGGGAAAAGTTTGAGAATCCAGGCCCTGTCAGGCCCAGGTGAATGCCCCTCACTCCTACTGAATTTGAATTTAAAGGAATCACCTCCGGAATGAAGGTGAACTGGAAGACCTATAGACACTGAAGGAACTTAGGTTCAGATCATCTCAATGTCTGAAGTGAGACCAGCCTGGGAACACAGTGAGGACCCTGTCTCAAAGAAAAAAAAGGAACAAAAACTACTAAAAACATTATCTAGATTGGAGACATTACAATCACTATGCTAATTATTTGAAAATAAGATACAAGATACAAAATGTTATCAGAGAATTAGAAACTGTTTTTTGTTTTTTTTGGAGATGCAGTTTCGCTGTTGTTACCCAGACTGGAGTGCAATGGCACAATCTCAGCTCACCAAAACCTCCGCCCCCTGGGTTTAAACAATTCTCCTGCCTCAGCTTCCCGAGTAGCTGGGATTACAGGCGTGCACCACCATGCCCAGCTAATTTTTGTATTTTTAGTAGAGACGGGTTTCACCTTGTTGACCAGATAGTCTCGATCTCTTGACCTCGTGATCCACCCGCCTCAGCGTCCCAAAGTGTTGGGATTATAGGCGTGAGCCACGGCGCCCAGCCTAAAAACTATTTTTAAAGTGTCAAGCAAAAATTCTAGGACTTAAAAATGCAGTAACTGAAATTAAGAACTCATTATATGGATTAACAGTAGATTGAAGCAGGCTGAAAATAAAAATACAATCCTTTCGAGATAATAGAGAAGGAAGCCAACAACCCTGTTTTTAGGAAGCTAACAATCTTGATTCTAAATTTGACAAAGATGTTAAAAAAAGGAAAGTGCAGACCAATCTACTCCTGAACACAGATGAAAAAGCCTCAGCAAGGTATTAGCAAACAGAATCTATCAATATACACATCACAAACCAATTAGTTTTTTTAAACTTTATCAATTTTGGTTTAATTTAACACGGTTTTTACAGCATTCTCAGGCTATATTAGAACAGTATTGTAAAAAGCAACAACAACAACAAACACCCTTATGCTGAATTCTTTGCTGGGAATCTTGCCCCTTACAGGAAGGGCTAGTACATAGCTCTGACACTTCAGGACAGCGTGACATTAAAATACACCAACTTTTCTCTCAACTTTCAATGCTCTCCCTCTTATTTTAATCTTACCAAGTTTGTAAAAAATAGAGATGTGTTTTAGTTTTTGTACTTCCTGATGGAGAACTTTTAAGATTTTTTTTAAATGCATGTTACTTTTTGTTGTTGTTCTTCTTCCTCTTCCTCTTCCTTCTTCCTTCTTCCTTCTTCTTCCTTCTTCTTCTTCGACAGAGTCTCACTCTTGTTGCCCAGACTGGAGTGCAATGACGCAATCTCAGCTCACTGCAACCTCCACCTCCCGGGTTCAAGTGATTCTCTGCCTTAGCCTCCCAAGTAACTGGGATTACAAGTGCCCACTACCACACCTGGGTAATTTTTGTATTTTTAGCAGAGACAGGGTTTCACCATGTTGGCCAGACTGGTCCTGAACTTCTGACCTCAGGTGATCTACCCACCTCAGTCTCCCAAAGTGCTGGGATTGTATTTTCTTTCATTTATTTCAACTATGCCTATGCTTTTCTTTTTTATTTTATTTTATTTTACTTTAGGTTCTCGGATACATGTGCAGAATGTGTAGGTTTGTTACATGGGTATATGTGTGCCATGGTGATTTTCTACACCTGTTAACCTGTCCTCTAAGTTCCCTCCTTTCATCCCCCACCCCTCAAGAGTCCCAGTGTGCGATGTTCCCCTCCCTGTGTCCATGTGTTCTCATTAACTCCCACTTACAAGTGAGAACATGTGCTGTTTGGTTTTCTGTTCCTGTGTTAGTTTGCTGAGGATGATGGTTTCCAGCATCATCCCTGTCCCTGCAAAAATACTACTCATTCTTTTTTATGGCTGCGTAGTATTCCATGGTGTAGATGTGCCACATTTTCTTTATCCAGTCTATCACTGATGGGCAATTAAGTTGGTTCCATGACTTTACTATTGTAAGTAGTGCTGCAACAAACATACATGTGTATGTGTCTTTATAGTAGAATGATTTATATTCTTGTGGATATACACCCAGTAATGGGATTGCTGGGTCAAATGGTATTTCTGGTTCTACATCCTTGAGAAATCACCAACCTGTCTTCCACAATAGTTGAACTAATTGACATTTCCACTAACAGTGTAAAAGCATTCTTATTTCCCCACAACCTCATCAGCATATATTGTTTCTTGTCTTTTTAATAATCACCATTCTGATTGATGTGAGATGGTGTCTCACTGTGAACAAACCAGTTAGTTTTATTCCAAGAATGCAAAGTTAATTTACCATATGAAAATCAATCAATATAATTCACTGCACTTACAGGTAAAAAGGTGAAAAAATGCACAAGCATCTCAACAGGTTCAGAAAAATATTTTGATAAAATTTAATATCAATCTCATCAACAAATTACATAATTTAAAATTTAAAATAACATTTACAAATTTACATTTATAATTATTTAAAATCTTAAACAACTTTAAAATTGTTTATACATAGGATGAAAATACCTTAATATGAGAAAGGTATTTATATCAACAACGACTCTACAGAAAGCACCGGTCTTCTAGGTCAAATGCCGAAGGCTTTCCCTTTGAGACTGGGAACAAGACACTGTTAGCAACAGTGTGAAAGAAGTAAAAGGCATGAGGCTTAAAGAAAAGACCCCAAACTATCATTACTCACAGATGACATGATTCTGGAACAAAAAAATCCAAAAGATAACTCAAACAATAAAAAGACAAGCCGCACACACAAAGCACTGGATGTCTGCTAAGATCATTTAAATTTCTTGTGTCTATGCAAATTGACACACACATATATACATACACATACACACATACACAGATGATTTGTAATTAATAATACAAACTATGGTATATAAAAAGTATAAAATACTTCACTTTTGTCATGTAATATAGAGATTTTCCATATCAGCACATTACTTTTAATAGTTGTACAATAATCTACTGTAGTGTATTCTAATGATTTCTATTTAAATAATTTAAAGGTCTTTTTGATATTACAAACGATGCAACAAAGAACTCTTATAAGAATGTGTTAGTGGCTGGGCATGGTGACTCATACCTGTAAATTCCAGCACTTTGGGAGGTTGAGGCAGGAGGACCATCGAGCCCAGGATTTTGAGGTTGCAGTGAGTTATAATCATGACACTGCACTCCAGCCTAGGCACAGAGTCAGACTCTTTCTCTGGGGAGAGAAAAAAAAAGAATGTACTAGTATGGCTACAAATGACAAGAAAGAGGACTCAGGGAATCCAACAGCTTCTCTAAGTTCTCCTTCCTGTGCCATGTTCTTGAGTCCAGAGTGACCAAGACAGCAAGAATTCATAAGACAGAGGACCAGAGAAGAGAGAGCTGTTAGTGACATGGTCCATCTGGAATATTCAGTAGAATGCAGGTCAACAGATTCATCTAAGAAAAATAGTTGAAGTTAAGGGAAGACTCATCCAAAAGTATTGGAAGGAACGCATGCTCACACAGCATGAGGAACAGTGTGTGTTCCCACTAGCAGAGTAGACAAAAATCATGACTCACGAAGTATTGAGTAGAGGCCTTACCTTTGATATACAGGGGTAAACTGAGTATTGCCCTAGACTGACCTAACACATCGTAAAAGTAGGACCCAAAAGGATCAAACTGTTTTTAAAGAACATAACCACGTCTCAGAACAAAGTTCAAAATGTATAGGAATACAAAAACACTCGGCCTCAACAAGGCAAAATTTACAAGTCTAGCGTCCAGTGAAAGATTACTAGGAATGCAAAGAAGGAAACTATGACCCATAATGAAGAGACTTATTAATCAATCAAAACCAATTCAGAACTGATAAAATTAGAATTAACAAAGTAGATACTAAAACCATTATTAAGATTGTTTTCCATATTGTTTAACTTCTGAGTTAAGTAGAAATATGGAGGAAATATATATATTTATAAATATATGTAAGTATATAAATATATATTTATATATTAGATATTTGAGATATCTAATTATATATTAGAGATAGTGTCTCACTCTGTCGCCCTGGCTGGAATGCAGTGGCCTGATCGTAGCTCACTGTAACCTCAAACTCTTGGGCTCCAGTGATTCTTCCCTGTTGGCCCCTGGAGTGGCTAGTACTACAGGCACATACCACTATGTTCAGTTAGTTTTTAAAATTTTTTATAGAGACAGGGTGTTGCTATGTTTCTCAGGCTGATCTTGAACTCCTGACCTCAAGCAATCCTCCCACCTCAGCCTCACAAAATGCTGAGATTACAGGCATGAGCCACCGTGTCTGGCCCAAGAATATTACAAAGATTACAAGTAAAATTAAACTTTTCTTTTTTAGACTTTCATTCTAGTCTAAAAAAGAATTTTCATTCTTGTTGCCCAAGACTGGAGTGCAATGGTGCGATCTCAGCTCACTGCAACCTCCACCTCTCAGGTTCAAACAACTCTCCTGCCTCAGCCTCCCAAGTAGCTGGGATTAGAGGCACCCACCACCACACCCATCTAATTTTTGTATTTTTAGTAGAGACACAGTTTCGCCATGTTGGCCAGGCTAGTCTTGAACTCCTGACCTCAGGTGATCCTCCTGCTTTGGCCTCCCAAAGTGCTGGGATTACAGGTGTAAGCTACCACACCCAGCCTAAACTTCTAGACATGAAAACTATGTCTGAGGTGAAAAATAGACTGGAGGAAGTGAAAGGCAGATTGGACATTGTAGAAGGCGAGATTAGTGAAATTAAAAGTGTTGTAATGAAAATTATCCAAAATAAAGCACACAGAAAATAAGGTTCCAAAAAATGAAAAAGTATAAGTAATCTGTGGGACAATCTCAGTGGCCTAATATATGAGTAACTGGAGTCCCTGAAGAGGAAAGACTGAAAAATATATTTGAAGAAATAATGGCTGAAACATTTCCAAACTTAGTGAAACTATAAACCTACAGAACTAAGAAGCTCAATGAACACCAAGCAAAAGAAACATGAAAAGACGACACCAAACTACAGCATAAATTACTTTAAAAAAAAAAAGATAAAGAGAAAAATCTGACAATCAGCCAGAAAATATAGTCATATTACTTCCAGAGAAGCAAAGATAAGGATGACATCAGATTTTTCATCAAAGATTGCAGGCAAGCAAGAGACATTAGAGCAGCATCATTAAGGTACTGGAGGGTAGGTGACTGTCACTCACTACTCAGTACCCAGCAAAAAATATTTTTTATAAATGAAGGTGAAGTCATTTTCAGACATCCAAAAGCCAAAATAATTTATGACCACCAGAAGAAATCTCTGCATTACAAGAAGTGCCACAATAAAAAAAAAGGAAGGCAGCAGAACACACTGCCGTGTGTGTACCTATGCAACTATCTTGCACGTTCTGCACATGTACCCCAAAACCTAAGATGCGATAAAAAAAAGAAGTGCCAAATAACATCCTCGAGCAGAAGAAAAATGATATTAGATGGAAATCTAGATCTACACAAAGGAACGAAGACCACCGAAAATATATCTACATGGGTAAAAATATAAGAATTACTTCTCCTATTACTTAAATCTCCTTAAAAGATATGTGCTTGTTTAAACGGAAATAACAATGCATTACTGGGTTGATAACATATACGAGTAAAGTGCATGACAACAATAGCATAAAGACCAAGTGCAGAGAAATGAAACTACACTATACATGAAGTGATATATCACTTGAAGGTAGTTTGTGATAATCAAAATGTATACCATAAAGAATAGAGCAACCATTACATAATAGAACAGTGAGTTCTAACTAAGAACCCCCAAAGAGAAAAAGCTGAATCATAGAAACAAATTAACTAAAACAAAAAAAGACTGGAAGAAAAGGAGAAAGAAAAGGAATAATAAATAAAGCAAAATGAAAACAAATAAAAAGATGTTACACCCATACCTAACCTTACCATAATCACATTAAATGTAAATCGTCTAAACATACTAATTAAAATGCAGAGGTTGTCAGATTGAATATGAAAGCAAGACCCAAGTATATGCTGCCTATAGAAAACACACTTTAAATATAAGGTCACAAACATGGCAAAAAAATGAAAAGATGGACATATAGATATCATGCTAACAATAATAAAAATCCGAAAAAGCTTACATGAATATCAGAAAATGTAGATTTCAGAGGAAAAATATTATGAGGGCTAAAGAATGTCATTTCATAATAAGAATTTATTCATCAAAGGTACATAAAAATTCTAAATGTGGCTGTGCGCAGTGGCTCATACCTGTTATCCCAGCACTTTGGGAGGCCGAGGTGGGTGGATCATGAGGCCAGGATATCAAGACCAGCCTGGCTAACATGGTGAAACCCTGTCTCTACTAAAAACACAAAAAATTAGCGGGCATGGTGGGTGGCATGCACCTGTAGTCCAAGCTACTCGGGAGGCTGAGGCAGGAGAACCGCTTGAACCTGGGAGGCAGAGATTGCAGTGAACTGAGATTACACCACTGGGTGGCAGTGGGAGACTCTGTCTCAAAAAAAAAAAAAAAAACAAAAACAAAAAAACAACTAAATGAATCTGCATCTATTAACACATTACTTCAAAATGGATGAATCAAAACCAATATATACAGACTTGGCAAGGTGGCTCACCTGTATCCCAGCACTTTGGGAGGCCAAGGTAGGAGTATTCCTTAAGTCCAGAAGTTTGGGACCAGCCTGGGCAACATGGCGAAAAATAGCCAAGCATGGTGGCACACACCTGAAGTCCAGGTACGTAGGAGGCTAAGGCAGGAGAATTGCTTGAGCCCAGGAGGCAGAGGTTGCAGTGAGCCAGGATCACGCCACTGCACTCTAGCCTGAGTGATAGAGTGAGACCCAGTCTCAAAACAAACACAACCAAAATGATGCATCGTAGTACCTCTTTATCATGGGGAATACATTCTAAGCCCCCTAGTGGATGTCTAAAACCACAGATAGTACCAAACTCTATATGTGGTATGATTTTTTCCTATGCATTAATACCTATGATAAAGTTTAATTTGTAAATGAAGCACAATAAGAGATTAACAATAACTAATAATAAAATAGAACAATTTTAATAACATACTGTTCAGTTAATATGTCAGTTATTCCTCAATAAAGCTGTCTAATTTTTTTTTTTTTTTGAGATGGAGTCTCACTCTGTCACCCAAGCTGGAATGCAGTGGCACGATCTCAGCTCACTGCAACTTCTGCCTCCTGGGTTCTCCTGCCTCACGCTCCCAAGTAGCTGGGATTACAGGTGTTTGCCACCATGCCCAGCTAATTTTTTTTTTTTTTGTAGAGACAGTTTCATCGTGTTGGTCAGGCTGGTCTTGAACTCCTGACCTCGGAATCTCCCCACCTTGGCCTTTCAAAGTGCTGAGATAACAGGTGTGAGCCACCATGGCTGACCTAGAATTTTTAAGATGTAATTTTTCTCTCCAAAAATAAGGTATAGTTCCCACTTGTTAGAATCCTTTCTTCCCAAAATAGTATTTAAAGTATCCTTCATGTAGTCCTTGTCTCTTTCTTATAAAGTTCATTCATATACATTGCTTGGCTTGTTATTATAAATGAGATCTCTCTATTATATTTTCTTATTGGTTTTGGGCTTGTTTATAAGAAAAATTTGGATTTTTTAAAAAATGAAAATTAATAAAATAGTATAAAAATACTTTTTTAGAAACAGGTGTTTTATTATATTGCCTAGGTTGGAGGGCAGTGGCTTTTCACAGAAACAATCATAGCACATTACAGCCTTGAACTCCTGGGCTCAAATGATTCTCTCACCTCGGCCTCCCAGGAAGGTGGGACTACAGATGTATACCACCACACCAGGTGAAATAGTTTTTACCCAGCACAATCTGGTAGTCGTTTTCCCCATAAAGTTTAATCTGTTTTACTGAGAACTTTCAAATATTGAGATACTATAATGTATCTGTTAGAAAAATTAGCATAAAAACAAATCTCTTACAGATAAAAAATGAATTTTAAAAAAAGATATGAAGAGTTAAGGAGTAAGTGCAGAAACCCAGCTGTCAATAAGCAAAGCAGAGGTCTTCACGCAGAACTTCCCTGATGGCCTCCCCTTGCTAAGGGCCATTAGCGATGCTTGGATTGCACCTATCAAAACCAGATGCTGTATCCATATAAAACTTCAAGCCGACTCATTTTTTCAGGAACATGTAAGCTGCTATTAAGCGCTATTTCAAAAATAATCCTATGGAACCCTCCCTAATTCTTTCTATGAAGCCAGCATCACCCTAATACCAAAACCAGGAAAGGACAAAACCAAGAAAGAAAACTACAAACCAATATTCCTGATGAACACAGATGCTAAAATCCTTAACAAAATACTAGCTAACCAAATCCAGCAACATATCAAAAATATAAGCCACCATGATCAAGTGGGTTTAATACAGGCATGCAGGGATGGCTTAACATACACAAGTCAAAAAATTTGATATACCACATAAGCAGAATTAAAAACAACAAGCACACAGTCATCTCAATAGACACAGAAAATACATTCGACAAAATCCAACATCACTTTATGATGAAAACTCAGCAAAATCGGCATACAAGGGAAATACATCAATGTAATAAAAGCCATCTATGACAAACCCACAGCCAGCATTATACTGAATGGGGAAAAGTGAAATCATTCCCTCTGAGAACTGGAACAAAACAAGGATACCCACTCTCACTACTCCTCTTCAACATAGTACTGGAAATCCTAGCCAGAGCAACCAGACAAGAGAAAAAAATTAAGGGCATCCAAATCAGTAAAGAGGAAGTCAAACTGTCACTGTTTGCTGACAATACGATCATTTACCTCAAAACTCCTAGGGACTCATCCAAAAAGCTCCTAGAACTGAAAAAAGAATTCAGCAACATTTCTGGATACAACATTAATGTACACAAATCAGTAGCTCTGCTATACATCAACAGCAACCACACAGAGAGTCAAATCAATAACTCAATCCCTTTTACAGCAGCTGAAAAAACAAAAGCAAAAAAAAACTTCAGAAGATATCTAACCAAGGAGGTGAAAGACCTCTACAGGGAAAATGACAGAACACTGCTGAAAGAAATCATAGATGACACAAGCAAATGGAAACACATCCCATGCTCATGGATGGGTAGAATCAATATTGTGAAAATGAACATATGGTCAAAAGCAATCTACACATTCAATGCAATCTCCATCAAAAAACCACTATCATTCTTTACAGAATTTGAAAAAAGCAATTCTACAATGAACTCAAACAAATCAGTAAGAAAAAAGCAATTCATATGGAACCAAAATAGACCCCACATTGTCAAAGCAAGACTGAGCAAAAAGAACAAATCTGGAAGCCTCATACTACCTGATTTCAAACTATATGGTAAGGCTATAGTCACCCAAACAGCATGGTACTTGTATAAGAATAGGCACACAGACCAATGGAACAGAATAGACCCAAATACTTAAACAGCCAACTAATCTTCAATAAAGCAAACAAAATCACAAAGTGGGGAAAAGGACACACCATTCGACAAATAGTGCTGGGTTAATTGGCTAGCCACATGTAAGAGAATGAACTGAATCCTCATCTCTCACGTTATACAAAAATCAACTCAAGGCTGGGTGCGGTGGCTCAAGCCTGTAATCCCAGCACCTTGGGAGGCCGAGGTGGGTAGATCACGAGGTCAAGAGATCAAGACCATCCTGATCAACATGGTGAAACCCCGTCTCTACTAAAAATGCAAAAAATTAGCTGGGCACGGTGGCACGTGCCTGTAATCTCAGCTACACAGGAGGCTGAGGCAGGAGAATTGCCTGAACCCAGGAGACAGAGGTTACGGTAAGCCGAGATTGTGCCATTGCACTCCAGCCTGGGTAACAAGAGCGAAACTCCATCTCAAAAAAAATAAAAAAATTAAAAAAAATCAACTCAAGATGGATCACAGACTTAAATCTAAGACCTGAAACTATAAAAATTCTAGAAGATATCATTGGAAAAACCCTTCTAGACATTGGCTTAGCCAAGGATTTCATGACCAAGAACGCAAAAACAAATGCTATAAATCAAATGTGAATAGTTAGGACTTAATTAAACTAAAGAGCTTTTGCATGGTGAAAAGACCAGTCAGCAGAGTAAACAGACAACCAGAGAGTGGGAGAAAATCTTCACAATTTATACATCTGACAAAGGACTAATATCCGGAATCTACAATGAACTCAAACAAATCAGTAAGAAAAAAACAAACAATCCCATCAAAAAGTGGGCTAAGGACATGAAATGACAATTCTCAAAAGAACGTATACAAATAGGCAACAAGCATATGGGAAAATGCTCAACATCATGAATGATCAGGGAAATGCAAATCAAAAGCACAATGCGATACTACCTTACTCCTGCAAGAATGGCCATAATCAAAAAATCGAAAAATGGTAGATGTTGGCGTGGATGTGGTGAACAGGGAACACTTCTACACTGCTGGTGGGAGTGTAAACTAGTACAGCTGCTATGGAAAACAGTGTGGAGATTTTTTAAAGAACTAAAAGTAGAATGACCATTGGATCCAGCAATCCCACTACTGGGTATCTACCTAGAGGAAATACATCATCATATCAAAAAGATATTTGCGCACGCATGTTTATAGCAGCACAATTCGCAATTGCAAAATAGTGGGACCTACCTAAATGTCCATCAATCAACAAGTAGATAAAGAAACTGTGCGCCCTCTCTCTCTCTCTCTCTCTCTCTCTCTCTCTCTCTCTCTATATATATATATATATATATATATCACATATATATAATAGAACTCTATTCAGCCATAAAAAGGAATGAATTAATGGCATTTCTAGTGACCTGGATAAGACTGGAGACTACTATTCTTTTTTTTTTTTTTTTTGAGATGGAGTCTCAGTAGGTCGCCTAGGCTGGAGTGCAGTGGCATGATCTTGGCTCACTGCAACCTCCACCTCCCTGGTTCAAGCAATTCTCTTGCCTCAGCCTCCCGAATAGCTGGGATTACTGGTATGTATCTCCACACCCAACTAATTTTTTTTTTTTTTTGTATTTTTAGTAGAGATGGGATTTCACCACGTTGGCCAAGCTGGTCTTGAACTCCTGACCTCAGGTGATCCACCAGCCTCGGCCTCCCAAAGTGCTGGGATTACAGGCATTAGCCACTGCGCCCAGCCTGGAGACTATTATTTTAGGTGAAGTAACTCAGGAATGGAAAACCAAACATTGTATGTTCTCACTGATATGTGGGAGCTAAGCTATGAGGACACAAAAATATTAGAATGATACAATGGACTTAGGGGACTTGCGGGGAAGGATGGGAGTGGAGCAAAGGATAAAAGATTACAAATAGGGTGCAGTGTGTACTACTCCTGTGATGGGTGCACCAAAATCTCCCAAAGCACCGCTAAGGAACTTACTCATGAAACCAAATACCACCTGTACCCCAATAACCTATGGAAAGAAATAATAATAATCCCATGCTCTAGTGATACCATACAGTATATAACCACCACCGGTACTCCTGTCACCAAACCCCACAAAATATTTATACAGGGGTCTGAGATTTGGGCCCCACACAAGAAAAATGGCATGTCACATTGGCCTCTTGATTCTTTTGGCACCTATTATGTGCTAGTTGCTATGCTTGAGATTTGACTAAAGAGATCAAAAATCCGTGATCCAACCTTACAAGCAGTAAGTGTTATGGTAGATGTGTAAACACACTGGAGCAACATGAAGCAGGGACCCTGAACTATGCCCAGGAGATATCTGTGCTGAATAACAGAGAATGAATGGGAATTCTCAAAGTCTAGAGACAGTGGATGGGAAGAGTCAGAGACGTGGGCGAGACAAGGGGAACTGACCTTCCTAGTAAGTCTCCAAGAGTCTTGTTTTCTGCCTCTGTTGTGATTTATCACAGTGCAGTAGTACCGGCATGCCTGCCTCTCTCCCTGTCTGACATGTAAGCCCTCAGAGGGCAGTGTTTTATTACCCCAGCTCTTAGGACAGTGTCTGGCCCATAGGAGATGCAAAAGTTTTCAATGAATGTTGTGTTTGAAAGAGTAAGTTCAGAATAGCAAGTAATTTACTATGAATAAAGTAAAACATATATGTAGTATTATTTTTCCAGACAAGGAATATCTAAGGAAGGCAGACTAATAGAAAGAAAATAATTAGTCTGGTTTGACATTCAGAAGATCTATAGTATGTGGGTGAACTGTGGGTCCCAGAAAAGAGGGTGAGGGAAAGAGAATTTGGAGTCATGATCTAAGGTTGCACCGTACTCAACCTCCTCCAAGCAACCTGAATAAAAACCAACTGAAAGCCAGGAGTGGTGGCTCACACCTGTATAACACAAGCACTTTGGGAGGCCAAGGAGGGAGGCTTACTTGAGCCCAGGAGTTTGAGACCAGTCTGGGCAACATGGCGAAACCCCATCCCTACAGATAATATAAAAAATTAGCTGGGCCTGGTGGCACATCTGTGGTCCTAGTTACTCAGGAGGCTGAGCTTGGGAGGTCAAAGTTGCAGTGAGCCGTGATGGTGCTATAGCACTCCAGCCTGGGTGACTGAGTGAAACCCTGTCTCAATAAAATAAAATAAAAGTAAACAAAAATAAAATAATAAAAACAGCAACTCACCGACTCCCTCTGTTGATGTATTCCTGTATTAATTTTTTTTTTTTTTGAGATGGAGTCTTGCTCTGTTGCCCATGCTGGACGGAAATGACATGATCTCGGCTCACCGCAACCTCCGCCTCCCAGGTTCCAGCAATTCTCCTGCCTCAGCCTCCCGAGTAGCTGGGGCTACAGGTGCTCGCCACCATGCCCAGATAATTTTTGTATTTCTAGTAAAGACGGGATTTCACTATGTTGGCCAAGCTGGTCTCGAACTCCTGACCTCATAATCCGCCCACCTCGGCTTCCCAAGGTGCTGGGATTACAGGCATGAGCCACCGCACCCTGCCATGCATTAATGTAAAACATGGACTGAGGACCTACTATAGCCATACAGTATCAGAAAATGAACAAATAATACACAATATATCAGCTAGTGTACATGATTATAAAGACTTACAAAAGGAGACTGCAAACATAGTCTGTGGTTGCATATTAGTCTGCACCTGTGTAGAAATAAAATCCATGAGACCAGTCCAAGAACACTTTGATGTGCAGTTTGAAGACCACAAACTACCAGAGACCTGTCGGGGGAACTGTTTCCAGCGCTCCAAGAGCCGTGGAGGCTCTCACTGATCATACAGACGGAGGCTCTCACTGATCAGCAGACGGAGGCTCTCACTGATCTTACAGACGGAGGCTCTCACTGATCAGCAGACGGAGGCTCTCACTGATCAGCAGACGGAGGCTCTCACTGATCGTACAGACGGAGGCTCTCACTGATCAGCAGACGGAGGCTCTCACTGATCATACAGACGGAGGCTCTCACTGATCAGCAGACGGAGGCTCTCACTGATCTTACAGACGGAGGCTCTCACTGATCATACAGACGGAGGCTCTCACTGATCATACAGACGGAGGCTCTCACTGATCTCACAGACGGAGGCTCTCACTGATCTCACAGACGGAGGCTCTCACTGATCAGCAGACGGAGGCTCTCACTGATCATACAGACGGAGGCTCTCACTGATCATACAGACGGAGGCTCTCACTGATCATACAGACGGAGGCTCTCACTGATCTTACAGACGGAGGCTCTCACTGATCATACAGACGGAGGCTCTCACTGATCAGCAGACGGAGGCTCTCACTGATCATACAGACGGAGGCTCTCACTGATCTCACAGACGGAGGCTCTCACTGATCAGCAGACGGAGGCTCTCACTGATCATACAGACGGAGGCTCTCACTGATCATACAGACGGAGGCTCTCACTGATCATACAGACGGAGGCTCTCACTGATCAGCAGACGGAGGCTCTCACTGATCATACAGACGGAGGCTCTCACTGATCAGCAGACGGAGGCTCTCACTGATCTCACAGACGGAGGCTCTCACTGATCATACAGACGGAGGCTCTCACTGATCAGCAGACGGAGGCTCTCACTGATCAGCAGACGGAGGCTCTCACTGATCATACAGACGGAGGCTCTCACTGATCAGCAGACGGAGGCTCTCACTGATCGTACAGACGGAGGCTCTCACTGATCGTACAGACGGAGGCTCTCACTGATCGTACAGACGGAGGCTCTCACTGATCGTACAGACGGAGGCTCTCACTGATCATGCAGACGGAGGCTCTCACTGATCAGCAGACGGAGGCTCTCACTGATCAGCAGACGGAGGCTCTCACTGATCATACAGACGGAGGCTCTCACTGATCATACAGACGGAGGCTCTCACTGATCAGCAGACGGAGGCTCTCACTGATCGTACAGACGGAGGCTCTCACTGATCGTACAGACGGAGGCTCTCACTGATCGTACAGACGGAGGCTCTCACTGATCGTACAGACGGAGGCTCTCACTGATCATACAGACGGAGGCTCTCACTGATCAGCAGACGGAGGCTCTCACTGATCATACAGACGGAGGCTCTCACTGATCAGCAGACGGAGGCTCTCACTGATCATACAGACGGAGGCTCTCACTGATCATACAGACGGAGGCTCTCACTGATCATACAGACGGAGGCTCTCACTGATCATACAGACGGAGGCTCTCACTGATCATACAGACGGAGGCTCTCACTGATCATACAGACGGAGGCTCTCACTGATCAGCAGACGGAGGCTCTCACTGATCGTACAGACGGAGGCTCTCACTGATCGTACAGACGGAGGCTCTCACTGATCGTACAGACGGAGGCTCTCACTGATCGTACAGACGGAGGCTCTCACTGATCGTACAGACGGAGGCTCTCACTGATCAGCAGACGGAGGCTCTCACTGATCATACAGACGGAGGCTCTCACTGATCAGCAGACGGAGGCTCTCACTGATCGTACAGACGGAGGCTCTCACTGATCGTACAGACGGAGGCTCTCACTGATCGTACAGACGGAGGCTCTCACTGATCGTACAGACGGAGGCTCTCACTGATCGTACAGACGGAGGCTCTCACTGATCATACAGACGGAGGCTCTCACTGATCATACAGACGGAGGCTCTCACTGATCAGCAGACGGAGGCTCTCACTGATCAGCAGACGGAGGCTCTCACTGATCATACAGACGGAGGCTCTCACTGATCATACAGACGGAGGCTCTCACTGATCTTACAGACGGAGGCTCTCACTGATCATACAGACGGAGGCTCTCACTGATCAGCAGACGGAGGCTCTCACTGATCGTACAGACGGAGGCTCTCACTGATCGTACAGACGGAGGCTCTCACTGATCAGCAGACGGAGGCTCTCACTGATCTTACAGACGGAGGCTCTCACTGATCGTACAGACGGAGGCTCTCACTGATCAGCAGACGGAGGCTCTCACTGATCATACAGACCGAGGCTCTCACTGATCAGCAGACGGAGGCTCTCACTGATCGTACAGACGGAGGCTCTCACTGATCGTACAGACGGAGGCTCTCACTGATCAGCAGACGGAGGCTCTCACTGATCTTACAGACGGAGGCTCTCACTGATCGTACAGACGGAGGCTCTCACTGATCATACAGACGGAGGCTCTCACTGATCAGCAGACGGAGGCTCTCACTGATCATACAGACGGAGGCTCTCACTGATCATACAGACGGAGGCTCTCACTGATCAGCAGACGGAGGCTCTCACTGATCATACAGACGGAGGCTCTCACTGATCATACAGACGGAGGCTCTCACTGATCAGCAGACGGAGGCTCTCACTGATCATACAGACGGAGGCTCTCACTGATCAGCAGACGGAGGCTCTCACTGATCATACAGACGGAGGCTCTCACTGATCATACAGACGGAGGCTCTCACTGATCAGCAGACGGAGGCTCTCACTGATCATACAGACGGAGGCTCTCACTGATCATACAGACGGAGGCTCTCACTGATCAGCAGACGGAGGCTCTCACTGATCATACAGACGGAGGCTCTCACTGATCAGCAGACGGAGGCTCTCACTGATCATACAGACGGAGGCTCTCACTGATCATACAGACGGAGGCTCTCACTGATCATACAGACGGAGGCTCTCACTGATCAGCAGACGGAGGCTCTCACTGATCATACAGACGGAGGCTCTCACTGATCATACAGACGGAGGCTCTCACTGATCTTACAGACGGAGGCTCTCACTGATCATACAGACGGAGGCTCTCACTGATCTTACAGACGGAGGCTCTCACTGATCATACAGACGGAGGCTCTCACTGATCATAAGGACATTCAGCAGAGACAGTGTTTCCCGTGCATTTGCCTTCTCCACATGAATGTTTGCTTTTCTTGCAGCAACTCACAGCTTGCCCCTCTGCACTCACCTGTGCTTCTGTGAAAGCTTGATCCTCTTGGCTGGTGGCGGCAGCTCACGCCTGTAATCCCAGCACTTTGGGAGTCCGAGGAGGGCGGATCACCTAAGGTCAGGAGTTCGAGGCCAGCCTGGCCAATATGGTGAAACCCCATCTCCACTAAAAATACAAAAATTAGCCAGGCATGGTGGCATGCTTCTAATCCCAGCTACACGGGAGGCTGAGGCAGGAGAATTGCTGGAACCCGAGAGGCAGAGGCTACAGTGAGCCCACACTGCACCACTGCACTCCAGCCTGGGTGACAGAGTGAGACCCTGTTTCAAAAAAGGGTCTCTTTTTTGAGATGGAATCTCACTCTTTTGTCAAGGCTGGAGTGGTGCAATGGTGTGTTCTCGGCTCACTGCAACCTCTGCCTCCCTGGTTCAAGTGATTCTCCTGCCTCAGCCTCCCGAGTAGCTGGGATTACAGGTACTTGCCACCTTGCCTGACTAATTTTTGTATTTATTTATTTATTTTTAGTACAGACAGGGTTTCACTGGGTTAACCAGGCTGGTCTCGAACTCCTGGCCTCGTGATCCGCCCACCTGGGCTTCCCAAAGGGCTGGGATTAAAGGCATGAGCTGTGGCACCGGCCTCTTCCTCTTGAAATAACTATTGTCATTCACATATATTAAGGAGTAAGATAGAGGGGTATTCTGAATAAATTTTTAGTCACAGAGGATAAAATATATAGTTTTTTACAAAGTTAATTTTTTTGGTTGTTTTAGAGATAAGATCTTGACATTCTGTCCAGGCTGGACTCAAACTCCTGGGCTCAAGTGATCCTCCCACCTTGGCCTCCTAAATAGCTGGGACTACAGGCACACAGTACCTTGCCCAGTTTAAAATCAATCATTATGCTATAACCATGACAAACTCTCTGAGCAGGCTTCCTGGGACTACAAAATAACCCAAATCAAGAAGAATAGAGTCTTACAGAGGATTGCTCAGCAGAGCTCAGGTGCATGCCTCCTGTGCAAGACTGCACCAGGTGATGCCAAGCTTGGCCCAAGAGAGCACTTTACTAAAGGGTTATCTAAGTCAGGAGCCCTCTCTGCACTGCCACATCTGTGAGAACCCCTCCCAGTTCAGTTGATCTCTCTAGCAACTACATTTCAAAACAAACAAGAAAAACATTATCAAGAGAAAGGAAGCAGTTGCTGCAGCCCTCAGACCAGAGGCAGGGAGGATCGCCCCGCCCCTCGAGGTCTCCTCTGATGACCTTAGGTTTTTTTCTATTGTTCAGGTATGGGGCAGCTTGTAATCTCCAGAAACTACCGATTAGCATTGTCAAATTCCCAAAGAGAACTGTTGACTTAGCATCAAGGCTTCTGCTTAGTTCTTTACCATTTTGAAGCCAAAGACTCCTTTGAAAATGGAAGGAAGTACTTGCATCTTCTTCCATAGGAAACCTTACATGTACAAAAACTTGGCGTACGACTTGAGAGATTTCAGTTGCTAAAAGCACCTCAATGTTCAGCAAAGCAGGGATTATATAAATCCTAAAATCCAAGCTCTATAAATCTATACCTGAGTTTTTTTTAAAGTAGGCTATAAAATGCTTTCAGATAAGAAAGAATAAAGCACTATCTGAGAGAACAAAAGGAAAGTGGGCACTTTAGTTTGCCTAGTTCCATTTAAATATCTGTTTCTCCGCCTTCTAATCAAAGGCTTACTTCATGAGCATCTGAATGCAGCTGCCAAAGCAGTCCTGAAATCCATGGGAAATGAGACAGACCAGGCTCTCCTTGTTCTGTGCTACCACGCAGAAACGGAGCACAGTCTTACGAGGCCTCTCCTAATGTTAGCCTCGTTACAAGGCAGATAAAGAGATGAAAGGCAGCGAACCAGGCAGATAAAA